AATTATTAATACAAAATGAGAGCAGCTAAGGGAAAGACGGTGCTGGAGAGTATACACAGCAGATGAAGAGTTACAAAAACAGCCAGAAATTTTGCCGTGAAGAGTTAAAGCAGCAAAAGGGAACAGCTGGAGACTATTAAAAGCACTCATTAGAGGGAAGAAGCAGCAAACTGTTCTAATTGGGTCAGCTGACAGGTGGCTGGGCTTGAGTCCTACCCTCCCAGCAGCCCAGGCCCAGCCGCTGAGATTGATGCTACTGTGTGATCCTCCAGCCACATCTACAGCTGCAAAGCTGCAGCTCAGGACACCTCGTGGGATCTCCAATGACCAGTTCAAACCACCTCAGCACCGATACATAACACAGGGAGCAGAATGACTGCTGTATGTATGGGGGTAAAGCTAGGGAAATGCTGTGGGTGCCTAAAGTGTTTAGTCTTTTAACAACGGCTCTGAACTCAGTAACTGAAGAACCTATTTTTTTATTTATACATTTAACACCCTAATATCTGGTATGCATTGCACAAACATAGGCAAATAACTTTAACCTCTGCATGCTTTAGATTTCCAATCTAAACAATTGTAACTAAGTTTGCCACTCCCTCCCCAAAAGTTCTCAGGTTCATCGGTGGGCACACGTAGCCCCTTGTGAGGTTCTCAGCATAAAAATCCCATATAGAAATGAACCCTCTGCTTGGCCCTCCACCAAACCTGCACTCAGACAGCTCTCCCACTACCTTTTTTATACAGAAATACTCACTCGTGACAGTGACAATCAGGAGGCAGAGGCATGGGCTCCATGCCATGGTCTCACCTGGAAGCCATGTGCCTGGCAGACTGAAAAGCTTCAAGAAACATCTGAAGTCACAAAGGAGAAAGCTCAGTGTGTTACTGCTGATGACAATTAACAATACAATTATCCATGGTTAAATATTTCTATTATCCAGATAAGAAATAAGACAGCTAGCTGCTGCCAGAAAACCAATGCAATTGGTAAAAGAATATTTTTTGCTGTAGCTAGAAATGTAGGGGTAATAGTTATTGTAATGATACCATTCTGTATTGCATTCCTTTTAGTGGAGGTAGAAGAATTAAACATGGTTAAATGCCTGTAGCGGATATTCTTATGTTAATGAAAAACAATGTCATTATAAAAGTAAATTCAGAAATGCAAAAAAAACACCCAAACCTCTTCTATGGTGTTTGACAGTTGTGCTTTTTCTGTAATTTTGTTTGAACTTTAGGAAATAACCTAAACAACACCATTTTACATGTTGAACAAGAAAAGCCAATCTTTGCCACAGGAGAGGTCCCTATTGCAAGAAACTTGACTTGTAAATTCCCTGACGTCCTTTGAATTTTGATTCCCCCCTTTGTAGTAATCTGACACACTTTTGACAAAAATTTTAACATTTAATTTAAAAGACAAAAAGACAGATGCTCCTTTATGGAATTATTTGCATGAGTAATCTTTAGCATAACTGAGGCTGAACATTGTTAGAATATTTTTATTTTAAGCTGAGAATAGCGTATTTATTTTCAGAGATGAAGCTGAAAGACTATGCTGAGCCTGACAGAGATGTGGTGCAAACTTAACTGCTAATTATAATGAAGATCTGAAACGTTACATCGAAGGTAACAAGTTCTTAATTTACTGAACTACGTTTTTTATACAAAACCTCTCTTGACAGTTCAAGAGAGACAGGAAACTACTGGACAGAGTCCGATGGAGGGCTACAAATATGATTAGGGGACAGAAGCATCTCTCTTACAAGGAAAGGCTGAGAGACCTGGGGCTGTTTACCCTGGAGAAGAGAAGGCTGAGAAGGGATCTTAGCAATGCTTATAAAGGGTGGGTGCCAAGAGGATGGGGCCAGAGTCTTTTCAGTGGTGCCCAGTGATAGGATAAGGGGCAGCAAACACAAACTGGAACACAGGGAGTTCCATCTAAACATAAGGTCAAAGTTCTTTCCTGTGAGGGCGACAGAGCACTGGAACAGGCTGCCCAGAGAGGTTGTGGAGTCTGCTTCTCTGGAGACTTTCAAAATCCACCTGGACATGATCCTGCACAACCTGCTCTAGCAGTGGGTTAGACTAGATGATCCCCAGAGGTACCTTCCGACCCTTACCATTCTGTGAAATTAGCTCAAACATGTTCAGACCTTGTACTTGAGTGAGTTAAGAGCCATGACATTCACAAGCCAAGAAGGGATCAGAATTTCATGTAACCAGACTTCCTGCAATTCGGGCAACAATACACAGCCCAGACCGCTTCATACACTCATTCAGCCTTAGCTGTCTTAGATCAAAGTTTTAACAAGTATTAAGAGAAGATGAAAAATGTCTTAAGCTGCAGTTTCAATAAGATAATTTTAGATATTTGCTAATCTTCTGGAAAGTACAGTTTTAATACAAAGCTTTCAAGTATTTATGGTAGTCCCTCTCTTTTATCATGAATACTTCCCACCTTATGCACTTTCAAGCCTTTAAATAAACTAGTGCATATTCTTCTTTTGCTTGGTACCAGCAGCACTCAGAGCTGTACTGATAAGGGGTTACTCGCTTCAGGGAAGTGTTTTAACTCTAGGTTCAACCTGAAACATCTGCTATGAAGAATTTAAATTAACTTTTGTGAATTTATCTCATTTTACAGGACCATAAGGTAGGGTGACTCTCACATGGGCATGCTTCAGACTTGACCTGAAGTATTTGCATCGTTTCAGATGATTACCTCTCTGCCATTTACCACTCTAACGTGTTACCACTACATTTTGGGGAAGCTTGGAAGCTACCTCTTTAAGTGACTGACAGCAACTTGCTCCAGCATAGAAATCACTGAGTTGGGGCAAGGAGCTGGCTGATCTGGGTGGGAAGTCTCACATTGCAGCAGCTGCCTCTCCCATATCTGACTTGTGAATAAAAGACTTGTTTCCTATCCTGGCTTTCAATTAAATTTTGGTAAACACAGACATTTACCAAAACATTTAAAACAACTTCTCTGACTCCTGAATGAATGGTTGTTTTCTCTACAACACAGTAAAAGCCTGAAGCTCTATTCAGAGAAAATTTCAAATGATCACTGAACAGTGAAAATCTCTGTCTCTGTTTCTGATCTTTGCAGTGTCAGCAGTTCAGATTTTCAGAGTTAAAAACACCGTGCCCAAGCTACTACAAGATTTTGACAGTTTTTATTTTTCAAGCTACTTTTCTTCGTAAGGATCAGAATTGAGGGGATGGAATGCCTCCATTAAGGATATCACAACCTGATGGCTAAGCAAGAGTTCACCTCACACAAAACTTAATCTTAAAATGCTTTTCTTTCCTTAAGAGCCTGCTTCATAGAGGTGCTGAGCAAACACACTTCCACAGTGCAGTTCCTGAGAGAAAATGCAAGCTGCCCAGTCTTTACATAGTCAAGTCAGCCATGAGAGGTGTCATTCATCACGAGTCCCACTTCAAATGAGAATTAGAGGCGCTCACAGTGAGGTACAGACTGTATCACTCGTTTTTAACATTTTCAAAAAAAACCCTGACACTTCTAACAAAACAATAACGCAGTAAAATTCCCACCCTGCATTCCTTTCTGCAAACTCCCTGTCCCATTCACAGATGAGGAAACAAGTCCACACACACAGCGTGCAAAGCTGTTGGGACTGCCTCCCAAACTGGCACACCAGGTGGTCAGATCCTGCTCAGATGCCACAGGGATCTCTTCAGTATCTATACATATACAGCAAATAAGAAACCCTTTGTAACATTATCAAAATGTTTATATCTTTATATCAGATATCATTAAAGTTTAAGGCTATACATAATGAGACTGACAGCCCACCCTCCCCCTTCAGTTAGTCCTAATTTATAAGCTTATCTGTTCACAGGCCTTTGCATGACAAACAACAGTAGTAAAGTACAAAAGAAACCAACACAGCCTTGTCATACAGAAAAAAAAATCTCAGCCCTCCTTGGATCCATCTGACCTCAGCTAGGACTGAACTGTATTGTGCAGCAGACGTTCAGATCCATGTTCTCTGTGGCTCATCCACACCACATCTGGGACTCTACTGCCCCTCCAAAACATTGTCAAAACACTCTCTTTGTTCTCCAAAAGTAACGCCTCTTTCTTGTTCTGACATTACATCTGGCCTGCAACATTTCATAGCAGATGGTCAAGCTGTCCTGTCCCTGCTCTGGCACTGAACCCTCTGCAGGTCCAAGTGTGGCTAAGGCCGAGTCCAGTCAAACTGTATCTCCATTATAGAGCAGGGGAGAACTAATTGCAGCATTTTGTCTTCTTGGGAAAGTGTCAGTGTGCATGCAGAGATATCAGGACCAAACAAACCGACCCTCTCCACAGCTTCTGTGTTTCTCATTCAGCATTTGTAGAACACCTGCTGCCACAGCACCTTGGTCTCTGACAAAGGCCAGCAGGTGTTCAGTAGCTGCACAAAATTAAAACATATCATGAACAGTTTATCCAGCATTATTGCCACCTTTTTAATCGAAACAAAGTAACAAAACCAGACCAAGAACTGAGATCACAGCTCTGGTATAAAGAACACTACGCACAACTTACCAACAAGAACATTAGTGGCTTGGGCTCATTGAATCACTCTGTTACCCAGTTTTCCTGAGGCTGCACAGCTACAGACATTGTTTCAACCTAAAAACCTGTCTGAATATTCACAGTGATAAATACAGGCATAATTATTATGCTTCACCACTACACAGTGCAAATACAATTTGGTAAAAGGACTATAATTCAAAGGTGGCAATGTGAGACTTGCTGTCAGCTTATACAAGATCAAACTGGATCATTGAATTCATCAGCAACATTCTACATACTAAAGCTCACCAAACTAAGGACCAGGCAAGGCAAAGACACAGGAAAAAATGCAAGACAAAAGATGCCGCAAGTCCTCCCCTTCTCAAACATCCAATTTGAACTTCAGCATTATGTAACAACACTGGGAAACCAGTCATTAGAGCCTTTCATTTAAACATACCAGATATCTTTCCTCCTGCCTCATGCTGGGCGTTCGGATCATGTGATTCTGTTCTCCTCTCCAATCTCCAAAACGTCGAAAGAAATAATTGGATAAAAATCGATTGACAGGATCTCTAATAATATTGATGTACACGGGCTGGTCTCCTCCAAACCTGGTGGGAAGAAAAATGTGTGAATCTCATCAGAAGGTTCCACACAGGCACACACATTCATCTTTCATCTGAATGTTTTCAAATTACTCTACAGAAGTTCAGAGCTTTTACAAGGTTAGGAGTGAAACTGAGAAGCTTACAACTGGTTAACAAAACTTTGCAAAAACTTGGAATCTCTCTTTAGGATGAACTGTAAATACGATATCAGATTAAGCTACACTGTTATAAAGATTTCAGTTAAAGACCATCTTTTCCTCTGTGTCAATAGTTTTGCTTCTTGATTTTTTTCCTAGCCATTTTCGGATGAAGAGCCTTCTGCAGCTGAATCTGATAAAAAGCATTTTTTTCTTTTCAACCCCTTTTCCATCTGGGAAGTCAAGTCGGAGCTGGCACTGCCTAACACTAACTGCCATAACCCAGCCTTGGATAACCTTCATCTGTACAGCAAGTGTAGTAACATGCAAAGGATTTTGCAACATTCAAGCTTATTTCAAAAGGCTTCCTTTGAACGAACCGACAGATATGCATGGTATTGCCATCTTAGTATTTGCTGGAACTTGTGCAGATCTTCTCCCTGTCACCCTCAGCCTGCACCACCAGCTGGATTTGAGGTTATTTCATGGTTGTGCAATGCCTTATCCTTGGCACTGCACTTCATGAAGATTCTTTTTAAAAAGTCAGTATGAAAATTCTTGCTTCAGAAAAGAAATTAATTAACAATTTCAAGTACACAGATGTTTAAGGAAAAGTAAAAGGTAAGACCAGCTGTGACCAGGCTCTGCACAACAGCAAAATGCAGCATAGGTACCTGGAATTTAAAGATGATAGACCAGAGCAATCTTATCAGCTTGACTTACTCTCTTGTATGCCTCCTCCTGGTAGTTAACAACAAAGATTTTCAGTTTAATAGGTGGAATACAAAAAGAGAGAAGGAGGAAAAGAGAGCCTGAGAAGGTCTGTGATTATGCTGTATTTCAACAGTGTTAAAACATTGACTGCATATTTTACATCAATACACAGCATCAGAACAGGCCTAACTGGAAGGAAAACAAGAAAGTTGCTTACACACTTCTGCAGTCAAAATTAAAGAATGGACAGTTATGCTGTGGAACAGACCTATGGACTAAAATGCTGAGACACAGAACAAAATAAAACCTTTTTGGACTTATAAGTTCACAGGATAAATATGACTAGCAATTTGCCAAATCTAAGAACATGAATTATGTTTCTCCCTTCTATTTTCCCAATTTAGAAGAACAATTCTTACTTAAGCAGTAGCTTAAACTTATTTTTGGGAGCTTGAGGACATAGCCATATTTAAGTATTTAAACACTGTTCTGATGATTTTTCTGAGTCACAATAATATTTTACATTTTAAAAGAAAATATATAAAGAATAGAAGAAAGAAAACTGAAGATACCCTTTAGATTAAAAAACCCTCCCGGTTTTATTTCAACTTCTGAGTCAGATGAATAATTAAATATGTATAATAAAAGATTAGAGCTCCTCATAAATATTAAAGAGCCAGCAAATTTGCTTAAAAATATGAATTCTAGTGAAAGAGAAAAATCCCATAGTTTCAACTTGATTTTTATTCTGCATGATTCCCCAGACCAATAAATACAGTCTGAAAAGGCTTGTCTCATGAATAACTATGCATATATCAGTAATTTCATTGACCTCAGTGTTGTAGGATCACTGCTGTAATTTGAAACTGCATACACAGCATAAAATTTTAAAACAATCCAATTAAGAAGGCAGATGCTCCTTGCTTTCTGATTAGTGTATAGCCCAGTTTTGATATGGGTGTGCAAGGGAAGTATCCTCACTTCTGAGTTAGCCTTTGCTACTTTTTGTCTTTATACGGAAATAAAATCTACATTAAAAAATGGCATTCCT